TACAGGAACGACAACACAGCTGGCAAACACGCTCTGGGACCGATACCTGTGCACCACCAAGGACCCCCGGACGGCCGCATACTCCTACGCAGGCAAAAAGAACACGCAGTTGGACACCCCGTTCCAGCTCCACGACCTCCAGGCGGCCTTACGCAAGATGAAGCGTGGCACTGCACCAGGGCGTGACCAGGTTACGGTCAAACTGTTGGCCAATCTTCCCGACGCAGCCTACGCCACGCTCCTCAAATACATCAATAGCATTTGGGACGGAGAAACTCCTCTCCCTCTTGAATGGAAATCAGCTCTCGTGACCTTCATCCCGAAGGCAGGTAAACCTATTGACGTGGAGAACCTTCGCCCCATCTCCCTCACGTCTTGTGTCGGCAAGCTGATGGAAACGATGGTGCGCGACAGACTCTCCGAGTTTCTAGAAACACAGCACACTTTTGCGGACACCATGTTTGGATTCCGCCCTCAGAAGTCAGCCCAGGATATACTTCTACAGCTCCACCATGACATATTAGATTCTGTTGAATGCCCCCACAATGACAAGGTAGTCCTGGCCTTGGATCTTAAAGGAGCATTCGACAACGTGAAGCATGAGGTAATCCTTGACCACCTCAGTCAGACCAACTGTGGTTATAAAACATTCAATTATGTTAGGCAGTTTCTTACAGACCGTCGAGCCTACATACGCATACAAGATGAGGAACATGGGCCTTACGTCATCGGCTCGAGGGGAACTCCTCAAGGCGCGGTCCTCTCTCCCCTCCTATTTAATATAGCCATGCTTCATCTTCCCCCCAAATTGGCTTCTTTACCAGGGATACATCACGCTCTTTACGCGGATGATATCACGATCTGGGCCACGCAAGGTAACCTGGGTCACATGGAGTCATGCCTGCAAGCAGCAGCGACTGTAGTCGACGACTACGCAACCTACTGCGGACTCCAGTGTGCCCCGGCTAAGTCAGAATTTGTGCACGTACGTCCCTCCCCTCAGGACACAACTCAGCTCCATATCAGACTTCCCTCGGGACCGATCCGTGAGGCCAAGGAGATCCGCGTCCTTGGCCTCTTCATACACCACCAACGCAAGGCCGACACCACAATAGCCAAACTTCGCACGGTGGGAGACCAGGTGGGCCGTATGGTCCGCCGGGTCTCCAACAAGCGGGGCGGATTACGAAGCAGGGATGCAATGCGGCTTGCCCATGCTTTCGTAACGAGTAGAATACTCTACTCGACTCCCTACTTGCACCTACGCAAACACGAGGATGATCAACTCGAGGTCATCCACCGTAAAGTTATCAAGCGGGCTCTCGACCTCCCTATCACCACGTCCAACCAGAGACTTCTGGCCCTAGGCGTGGTGAATACCTACCGGGAACTTCGAGAAGCCCACCTCGTTAACCAATACACGCGCCTTGCACAGACCCATTCCGGTCGCCGCCTCTTGGACCGAATACACAACAAACACGATTACTATATTGAGGAAAGGGTGAGAGTGCCAGAACCTTGGAGACGCGCCCTCCGGGTCCGACCCCTTCCCCGCAACATGTCCAAAGAAAACCACAGTGGTCGCCGCCAGGCGCGCGCGGAAGCGTTGCAGCGACACTTTGGTCAAGAGGAACACGTGTGCTACGTGGACGTTGCCGGCCCGCACCATGGGGGGTGGTATACTGCCGCAGTCATACACAACGCAAACACCGTAAACGGGCTCACTTTCAAAGCCTACAGCGCAACACACGCGGAGGAGGTTGCCATCGCTCTGGCTCTCACCTATCCCTCTTCTAAACATATCATCACCGACTCACGAGGGGCCTGTCGGAACTATCAGCTAGGGTGGGCTTCACCGCTTGCTCAGCGCATACTGGAACCTAGCTGCCGATACGTTAATCCAGCTCCGCGAAATCTGGTTTGGGCACCCGGTCACCAAGGACTCAGGGGTAACGAACAGGCCGATCAGGCCGCCCGCGCACTCTCTTCCCGGGCTATCTCCCTGTCTTTGGAAGCCTACTCGCAAGCAGACAATTCGGCCCTTTCATTCAAAGATATTACCAATTACTACAAGGAGGAGCACCGGCGCTATCCAGACCCTTGTAAGGGACTGCATCGCGCTGACGAGCGCCTCCTTTTAAAACTGTTTACCAATACTGTACTGTGCCCGGCGGTGCTAAAACATTTCAATTCATCCTTTGATGGCACGTGCCAGTTCTGTGGTGAGGTGGCTGATACCTTTCACATCGTCTGGGCGTGCCAGTCTAATCCATTTATCCCCCCCAACCCCAATCCCACGAGAGAGGACTGGGAGGCGGCCCTGCTCGGCTGTCAAGACCTGAAGGCCCAAGAGGCTCTGGTTCAACGTGCGCGGGCGGCGTTGCTTGCCAATGGAGCCCCGGAATAGGGGTTCCACCTAGTGCTGTGAGGGTAGGAGGCCAATAAGGCCCCAACGCAATCACCTCTCTGTAACCATTTAATGGTTATTAAATGTTTTCACCACCACCTACGGCCACCTTGCTTCTGTACTACACAAGGCTATGCTGTTGTCTGCCATCGTGTCTCGATAACCCAGGTGTTGAAACACTTGTATTGAAAATCGTGGCTTGGTGGGTTTTAATCTCGCCTCACCGACAAATTTTTAGCCCCAAAACTTCCGTCTTTATCTCTCTCTCTGTCTCTCTTTATTCTTTCTTTCCCCCATCAGAGCCATTGCATATCGCGCCGGGCAAAATTGGAGCACGTGTTCCGGGAGCGAAGCAGATGACGAAAATAAAAAAAAAGACAAAAAGAGTGCACCCCCCCCCCCTGTTTGTGATGTTGATAAACACTTCTAGCTCTACAAGGACTAACAGTCGGTTCTAATAGATTCAATGTGAGCAGGTATTGCATAAATTACTGAACATCTTTTCACAATCGGGCATCAACAGTTTCGTTCATTGAGGTGAGGCAGGGAGAGCCTGAGCTGCTCATCATTCGCACTTGGCACTCTGAAGATTAATAATAATAATAATAATAATAATAATAATAATAATAATAATAATAATAATAATAATAATAATAATAATAATAATAATAATAATAATAATAATTTGAGGGCTCTTGCGTGCCTGGACCATGTCATATGTTGGGAAGCATGGCGTAGCGGAGGGCTCTACTAACGTGCACTAACAATCCATGTGCACAGTACAACTGCCGCTAGTCACCACAATATATATATATATATATATATATATATATATATATATATATATATATATATATATATATATATATATATATATATATATATATATATATATATATATATATATATATATATATATATATATATGCAGAAGTTCCTTGTAGTGGGCAAAATACGTAGCCCATCCTTTAAAAGTCCTCTGCCTTGCGCGAAACCAATCGTTCCGACGATAGTTCTATCGCGAGAACAAAACGACGACACAGAGACCAAGAAGGACCCGATGGACACGAGCGCTCGTGTGCTTCGTCTCCTTCTTGTCTCTGTGTCGTCGTTTTGTTCTCGCGCTATAACTATCGTCATGCCATACCAACTAGCCCAAGCAGCCACACTTTGAAGTTACAATTGTTCCGCTTCGAAAATGACATCGTCTGTGACCACGAAAAGTTTTTTTTAAATATCGGCAGAGGAAGAAGTCGCTTGATGCAAGATCAGCTAAATAAAGAGGGCAATTCAAGGTTCATAGTCTAAACGCTGGGTGGCGACAGTGAACGCTTCCGCTCCAAAGGTGTTCAATACTTTTCGGACAAGTCGTGGGAAGCTCACTCTTGAAGTGGCTTAAACAAGCGAGCTACCGAGTGTGTAGACAATTCATTCACCCGTGGCTCCTCTCCGCAGTTCCGAAACTTGGTCCAACCTCCACCATCACTCTTTTCATGCGTGACGTTCTTTCGTCAAAGTTAACTGCTTCTACTTTCTCCACAATGGCAAGACCATTTTCGATTGAGGTCCTACCCGATCGTGGCTCGTCTCTCTCGGACACCTGACCACTATAAAAGTTCTTTTTTCACTTCACAGCCATGACATATATGTTCTTTGCTCAGCAGTATGGACGATACATGCATTTCAATAATAATATTATTAATAGTATGCGGGGTTCAACGTCCCAAAATCACCATATGATTATGAGAGACTCCGTAGTGGAGGGCTTCGGAAATTTGGACCACCTGGGGTTCTTTAACTTGAAGATAAAAATAAGAGCACGTTTTACAAATGTATTGCTGAAATACCAAAATTGTTGTTTTCGGGTGAGAATCGGAATCTTACGGTATCGATACGCAGTGAGAAAGGTTGATCATGGATCATTACTCACAGAACCGCAAGCGTATATAGCTACGTTTTTCCAGCAGTTAATGAGGACTTTAGGCGTATACGCTTATCTGCCGCATTATGCTTTTGCGGCCCGCCCCGGATAAGTGTGTCGGAAGAGTGAGGGCGATGACACCCCGATGAGCAACGCGGCATTACGCAAATATAGAACAAGTGACGCCGGGTCCACTTAACTATGCACTTCCGGCGGAAGCCCCTGCGTCATACTCCGATGTCATAGCGGTTGGCTTCAAAACAACACACCCCCAGGACACCCATCTATCAACGAGTGCTCCCCGCGTCATTCATCTTCGCGCCTTGAGTGTTTTATCAGCGCACGACGGCCACGCGATGCCGTGTGTTGCTTACCGTGCGAGACGACACGACCGACACGATGCAGAGCGTTCGAGCATTTCAAAAGAAGACATCATGGCAACATAGGTGTAAAAAGAAAGACTAATGGCGAAAGAGAATACGTTTAGGCACTTCTTTTTATGGCTTCAACGTCACTCGTGTGAGCCGGTTCCGGCGACAGCGAGGGCGGGAAAGGGACGGGGTGGAGGTGCTGCGGGGAAACCAAGCAGAGCCGCCAGGACGCTCCGTTGCAAGGCGCCACAACGCAGGGCGCCGCGCGTGACGCAAAAGGCAGACGTCGTCTTGAGAGAGGGGGGTGGGGTGGAGCCCTTGCGCAAGCTTGAGAAGCTGGCCTTGGTTCACCGCGTCTCGGGGACCATAAACTCTTCCGCAACCGACCCGTCCGCACGGATCTCAGGGAAGGCCCGGCGCGCCACTAGATTCTCTCGCGTACTCCGCAGTTGCGCGCGCTTTACCGCTACAGGGCAACTCGTTCGACAGCCGTCATGGACAAGAGGCCTTCTGTGATCTTGATCGTTACGATCATCTGGCTAGCCGTGGTGCCGGCGACTGTCGTCTCGGCGCCCGAAGCCGTCAGCCGTGCCACCAACGAACTGGGAATGGTCCTCTACCGCAAGGTGGCCGAGACGGACCCCAAGGACAGCAACATCTTTTTGTCTCCCGTCAGCGTGGCTGCCATTCTGGGCATGGTACAGCTCGGCGCCAGAGGTCGAACGCGGCAGCAGATCAACGCAGCGCTCGCCGGAGGCACCGACTCCAACCGGCTGATCAGCAGCGGCGATGACGATGACCTGGCAGCTGGATTTGGGGAGCTGTTCAAAGACCTCAACGCGGAGAAGGGATACGAGCTGCGTATCGCCAGTGCCGTTTTCTTGGCAGCAGGCCTGCCCATATTCGAGCGCTACAAGCGCGACCTGGAGAAGCACTTCGCCTCGGGCGTCTACTCGGCCAACTTCGCCAACAACGCCCGCGAGGCCGCAGACGATGTCAACGCGTGGGTGCGCGACATGACCGAGGACCGCATCCCCGAGATCATCGAAAGGCCTCTACCACCATCGGCACCCATGCTCGTTCTGAATGCCGTGTATTTAAGGGTCTGTGGCAGACTCCTTTCAAGACGGAGGACACTATTACCGGCGAGTTCTTCAACGAGGGCGGCTCTCGCGCTGTTGCAGTGCCGATGATGCGCCAGAAAGGCGAGTTCGTCTACGCGCTCAGTGAGTCCCTGGACGCGCACATTCTCGAGCTTCCGTACGTCGGCGACCGCGTTGACCTGGTCATCGTGCTCCCGAGGCGCAAAGACGGACTGGCAGAGCTCGAGCGTAAGTTCAGCCTTGAAGCGGCGCGCCAGCCTCTGGCGTCGGCACTGCCTCGCAAAGTGGACGTGTGGCTCCCTAAGTTCAAGCTGCAACAGGCCTACAGTCTCAAGGGAGCCCTGCAGTCGCTCGGAGTGCGTGACGTCTTCAGCGCGAGGGACGCCAACTTGACGGGCGTGTCGTCGAAGCGGCCGCTCGCCCTCGACGAAGTTTTGCATAAGGCCCTCCTCGACGTGGACGAGAAAGGCACCGAAGCTGTGGCGCTCTCATCCGGCATCGTACGTCACTCCAAGACGCCCGGAGGCGAGGTCGAGTTCAAGGCTGATCATCCCTTCCTTTTCTTTATCGAGGACGTGAGGACCCAGACGCTGCTCTTCCTGGGACGCCTTCAGCGTGTGTGAAGGACAAAGTGTCTGAGAAAAAACAATAAGAAACTGTGACTTTTAAGTGCACGAGTCGAGCTTTAGCAGTTTGTTAGCAAATTTTGCGCATACAGACCAGCTCAACGAATCTTAAAAAAACCCATGATTTGCATCTTCGGCGCGTGCTTGTCGTTTGCCGCTTGTGTTTCAACGTTCCACACGAGGCGCAAGGTGTTTACGAATAATCGCGCTTTCGCTGACGCCGACTTCCGAAGGCGCAGGAATTTTTACGAGCCCTGCGTGGCTGTTAGTCATAGCCGTTTGCGTATGCATTCCAAGATCTAAAAATGCTGGCTGGCAGAAGCGCACATTGAATATTTCGTGCACGTACTGCGGCCAACGTAGTTGTCCTTGATGTGAGTTTGTATTTCTCGGGCGTCGCTGCAAGTTTGGCACAGTACCAAGGATACGCCGCATGATGAAGCCATGTGGGGGTATCACCGGCGAGCAGCGAGCCGGAATAAAGTTCCTATTGCCAAGCGGCAGATGAGACAGGACAAAGGATCAGTGACAACCAGTGACGACAAGCTTTAATCACTATCATCTACGCGCGTACTTGCGGGGTGCCGAGAAAGTTGTCGCTGTGAATAAAAACTGAGCTGTTACGCTGTTTTATCTATACCTGGTGCCTATTCATTAGCCTTACCATAGTTTCGAGTTTCAAAGTGTCGAACGTGACGTGAAGACAGTTGCTGACGAAAAGAAAAAAAGCTGGTAAGGTACAGCCAGCGGGAGAAGTTTAGGGACTTTAAAGTTCCACTTGCCCCTGCTTCGTAAAGCGGGAGCGTCACGGGAGCGACGGAAACGAGGCTCACAGATAGCAAACGAACGCGCTGTCACTAAGGTGTCAACATAATATACATGCATATATACGGAGCAGGTCATTGTAAATTCATATCAAGTCACCTTGCACAGATAAGTCAAGCTGCGCGTCGTCCATCTCTGAAATAGACCCCTAATAATTGATGGGTCAGCAAACGTACTCGTGAGTCGACTCACTCAGGCTCACTCTGACTCAGATAGAATCGTGAGTCTTACTCTGAGTGAGTCCGGGTGAGTGATGTTTTGTCGTGTTTGAGTTCAAGTAAGTACGGCTGAGAAAAATATCAGTGAGTCCTGAGTTTAAGTGAGTCCGATTGAGGAACACGTTTTTGAATACGAGTCTGAGTGAGCACTAAGGGTAAGGTATATTACATGAGTGTGTGAGTGAGGTGCACAATGTTTCGCCGACCTCTCGTACTATCGACTCAGCTTGAGTATTACTATCAGCCTTAAGTTGACTCAGGTTTATGCCAATTATGTCTACTTACGCATCAACACAGTAGCGCTCCCACGAAATCTCAATATCAATAGAAAATGTGCTTGGATTATAGAACGTGGAGGTGGCTTGACCGATCAAAATCTTTCTTTAATTGAAGGCCTTGTTAAAAACATCTCGTGTGAGACATCACTTTCAATAAAATGGCCTTAGTGGATTGTAGCTAATGGTGACTCGTATATAAAGGTACGACACCAAAAGCTCCAAATAGAAGACTGATTATGCGAGATGTCGTTGCTAAAAAGCATTGGAACCGTGGACGAGACAGTTAATAGTAAATTAACGGACTCAGATGAAGCCAGGAAAGGGAGTCTGAGTTAGTTCAAGTGAGCATTAATTTGGTGCATTTGAGTCGTCGTGAATGTTAGTGAGTAAAATTTTAGTTAGTCTGAGTCCGAGAGAGTCCGGTTGAGTGAGACCAAGTAGGTCCCGAAGGCGAGCTATGTTTCATGAGTGATAAGAGTGAGCTCCAATTGTTTTGCCAACCAATGCTAATACCTTACGCGGGCGCCGTTGGTATCATAAATAGATAAATAATTATATTATATATACATTTAAAGATCGATATGAAGATACCCGTTTCAATGAAACTTTTGTTCCAACATATGACTAAACAAGTGGTGATCTCTAATTTCTACACAACTTTTTTTTTTACGAACTAGCACTCTAATGCTATCGCGTTTAAACGTCCAGCTGCATTAGTTACGCCCTTTGGGAAGGCTGCACGGTAGACCCAGCTGCAGAATCAACAGACTTAACAACAGGATCGTGCTAAGGGCAGTGATGGTGTGTAACAGTCCGAAGGAATATTAAGATGCATGGGCTGCTTTACATATTTCATAGTTCGTGTGATAGACGAAACTTATCGCCTCTCCGCAAAACATTCTTGCTCGGCCTGCTAGAAAAGTCACTGCATAGGAACTCCCTGTCTTTGCAAATTGCCATAACTTGAATATTGTCACAGCTTCACGTGACTGTCCACTTGACCTCAATGACATAGAAACAGGATGCTCTATGTCCACGCTGCCCTCGCGGACATCTGAAACGTGCAGACGTGGTTTAGCGGTGAATAAAATGCCGTGGTAGCATTTGGGTGCCGCGGTGTTACAGTGTTAGATTTCGAAGGGACGAAAAAAAAAAAGCCCTTTCCCATTGTTACGAATTTTTCTGATTGAACTAAATAATTCAGGAGTGGTCACGACTTTCCTAAATCGAGTTGTAAATGTGTAGTCGAACTGTGTGGATGTCACACACACACAAAGAAAAAAAATGTAGAGACAGAAACATTTCATTACTACCAACAAACGTTTTCAGTAATCCCTTTCTTTGCGTATGGAGTATACAAACAATTGGAAACAAATTACTAAAAGCGCTTGTCATCAGATACACGAACTGTCAGATGCGTTTAGATGTGTCATTGTGACATTGATGAATTCCGTAGATGAATACGTGTGGTGAGTCATCGTGATGAATATTTGCCATATGGAGGCGGAAGTGTCGGCGACAGTGATCGATTGAAAGCGTGGCCACCGAATTCCGTCTACACGAGCACTTTGAGGTTTCACTTGTGTAATCAATCTGGGAAAGGCCAGGAAAACCCCACAGCGTGGGGGAGTGTTCAAACAAAAAATCAAAAATGCTTACGGCAGCGCGTCATCATCAAATTGCACACCGTCTCGCTGAAGGATTAAGTTTCAACGCGTGAAGGTCTTGTTATTCTTGAACATGTAAGGAAAATAACGCACACGTTCAAGCACGGGAGATGTGCTGCGTTGGCCTTTGTTGCGCATACAAATGTCGCTCCTTGCGCTTTATAAGACGGCAATTTCGCAGAGAATTTTTAGAGATTAAGAGCAAAATATTTTTGTCGTATTACTCAATGATTCACTTCAATGTCATTCGCAACACATATACAACGTTGTATTGAAGCGTACTCTGCCAAGAAAGCTGTAGACGCACAATTGGACTGAAGCATGGAATCTTGTGTGCGTGTGAGGGGGAGTGGTGGTGAAGAGAAGTGACATTAATCGAATGATCGCCAGTTGTGACAATGCGTTAATAAAGTAATTTGATTGATATGTGGGGTTCAACGTTCCAAAACCACCAGGCGTCAATAAACTAAAGAATGACAATATATGTAGTCACAGCTATATATATATATATATATATATATATATATATATATATATATATATATATATATATATATATATATATATATTGTGAACGCAGTCACCGACTCTTCTTTATCGATTGGACGTGTCATCATCATTTGTATAATTTCATCTTCTGTAGATATCATCATCAGTGTGTGTGCCAGCTCGAGCTCGCCTCGAATAGCTCTTCCTCATAAGTAGTGGAGGTGATATATATATATATATATATATACATCAACCATCGCTTCATACGTCACACGATTCCCCCTCGGCCCGAAAGAAGGCATAGATTACGAACAAGAAAAAGTAAACAAGGAGCGGTTAAAAAGTCACAAATGTCAAAATTCACAATTGGTTCTATGCTCCAGGGGAGTTTTGTAAACTTTCAAAGACTTCAGCGGAGAGTGCAGCAGTCCGGTTAACGCAGGAGTTCTGGTGGGTGAGGCTGGTGGTTGCGTCCTGGATAACCCACAAATGCTTTGGACATGGAGATAGGGGTAATCACAGCTGGCATTCTTGGGAAGAACGAACGAGGCTCGAAGATCTTGCAGAATCGACAGTTCCGGTATTGTAGGCATCGAATTCCTCGTCGTGGGTGATACATAGGCCGTGCAGGCAGCTTGCGTGCGCGTTGATCGAGGTTGATTGGGCGCTGCCTGCATGTGTTCCTGCCGAGTACAGGGGGTGCTTTTGTGGCTTTTGGAAATTTCTCCATAGCGATGTCGCAGATGTTTTGATCGAAGGCGCATTTTCGATCTCTGGTGGAGATTGTATCCATGACGATGGGCCTTTTCGCAATGTTCTTTGAGCCAATGTTGAAGTGTACGTTGACGTTGTAGTTTCTTGGTTTCGTCGACTTGCTTGAGGTGTGACATTGATCGTGGTGTGCCAGGATTCTTAGCCATTCCTCCGCAGGCTTCTACGACGCCAACTAATGCAGCTGTTTTTGGCGCAAGACAATGTGGGGGGATTCGTGGAATTGAATTTTCTGTATTTATAAACCGCTCATTGTTGGTGGTTGCCTGAAGTGTACTATTGTCATCAGAAGTCGCACCTGCGCTTTTGTTTTCAGTGTTGGCAGTGAGGTTGTATACTGGAATGACGTCGCTTCGATCTTGTGAATGATGAACACTAGACGCTTCTGCAAAAGACTTTCCACAAGATGCTGATTGTGAATGCTTCTGTCTTTGTGGAACTGCTGAGCTGAATATCAAGTCAGTGTGCAAAGTACGCATGCGGCACGAAGTATTAAATGCATCTGGGTCACCAATAGTGGATTCAATTCTTTTATGCAGCGAAGAGTTAAGCATTGGCAATATTTGCGCGGATGGAAAACCAGGTGGAAGGTTGGGCCTCGTAGACAAACGGCCCGGATGTCTTTACATGAGCAGATCGCTGACTTCGCCTGACGGGAAATGTAAACTTCTGCTCTGTGCTCGAATGCGTGAAGGTTGCATAGACTGTGATTACTGAATTTGAATGCATCGATACGGCTCGTTGTAATCGAATCTTCATTATAGTCTTGGACACACTTTTGCTGGCGTTGGTGATGTTACTGTGGAACGTGTAGCGGTGGGAGCCCTTCTTAAACATCAGGCCGTTTTTTTTTGACAACTTGATGTGGTGTCCAGTGTTCAGTTGTTAGCATGTGGGCTGTTGTCATGCAGTTCGGGCAATGAAGACAATGTTTCACAGTTGGCAGAAAGCTCTTCAGAAGCTTCTTCTACGCTGTTCACTACGAGAGGCTCTTGAGCCTGGCAGCATGCGACGTTCAATGTGCCTGAGCCTTCTGTTTTGCTTCGACTGTCGAGTGTGTGTGCACCGGACGGTGATACATGCGCCCGTGCGGAAGGAGCATGGCTTGACAGGGTATTTTCGTGAAGCGTCAGGTCGTCTACCGTGATTGCTGCATCTTTTTGATGCAAATGGTGAGTGATAGGAGCGCTTGAAGAGCCGCGTGATAGAAAACCGCGTGGTGAACCGCGTATGCGAAAAGAATTAAGAGCATCAGGTCGGTGAGCCACGCCTCGCGTCCTATGCTGGAGCGAGGAGTTTCGAAATGCCGACTTTCGTGCAGAAGGGAGGCGCGCTTGATAGTTAGGGTTTTCCAAAAACACGCATGGTCTTCTGAAAGTCAACTCATGTGC